CAGATTCATCTTTCTCTTCTTTTCACTTTGGTCAGACTTGAGTTTTAAATCAATTCAGGTTTGCCAATTGAGTTTTGAATTTTTGATATGTATTTAAACCTGAGAGAAAATAATTTTCTCTATATGACTCTATCTCTTTCTTGCACTGAAAGTCATACTAACTATTGATTTGTTCAATGATTTTTATATTTTTTTGTGTAATAATATTATTTATTTAGTAAGTAGTTTGATTGCAGGAAGATGACTTCGAATCAAATAAGAAAAGAGCCAGGAGGGACATCAAAAGTAAAAAAAAAAAAAGACAAGACGAGTTAACAAAATCGATGGTTAATTTGATGTAGAGGCATGTAAGATTTGAAAAATAGTATGCTTATTTTTTGTGCTTTACAAGGTCTACGGATTAGCTTTTGTTTAACATTTAGATGGTTTTGGATTTTTCTGGTTATTTAATATATATATATTCGAAGTAGCTTTTTTTTATCCTTCGCTTGTGGCCTTCGGAAACGTAGAACCGGCTCTGTTCTTAAATCAAGATAGAAAAAAAAAATAAAAATCAATCAAAAATAAAAGAATGGGACCGGAGCGAAGCAAATTAAAAATTTTATATTAGAAAATCGACTTACATTAGGAGGCATATGAGATCTCGTTATATACATAGATATTTTATATTATGTAGAATTTGTTTAGGAATAAAATTAGAATTACAAATTCTAAGAACAAACATAAACTTTGCAATACTAGAAAATCAAAAGATATGAATCCAAATTGAAAGTATGTTTTCCAAATTGAAATCTAAGATAAATATTATAATCTTTTATATCATGAAATTACTTTAGCATAATGTAATTTGATTTTTTTAACATTAAATGATGAAAAAAACCATAAAAAATATATTAAAGTGTCTTTTAGTTTTAACTTTAATATGAGTTTCTAATAGGATACATGTCGAAAGAATAGACCACAAATTGTCAACTTCTTAACCATTTAGCATTATATAGTTTGATTTTATTTTTAATTTCAAATGATTAAAAAAATGTAGGAAAAATATGTCTCTAAGATAAATATTATAATTTTTGTGTCATGAATATATTAGCCTAATGTAATTTGATTTTTAACTATAAATGATGAAAAAGAAAACATAAAAAAAAAAGATATGAAAGTGTATCTTTTAGTTTTAACTTTAATATGAGTTTCTAAAAATACACATGTAGAAAGAATAAAACATCACATGTACACCTTCTTAGAGCATGAATATGAGGAAACATTAGTTTATTATATAAGATAATTTTCTAAAAGAAAACATTTTAGTGGGGAGTATGACTTACAAATGAATTTGAATGTAGAGTTACATATAAATTTAAAAATGTTAGAAAAATAACGTTACAAACTTAACCTATAAATATATATTTAACAAATTTCTTATATTACCAATTATGAGACATATTTTTGAAGTTTCTTTAAGTAACAATTACTATTTTTCATGTGTCTCAATATAGTGATTAGCTAGATTTACAACATATTTCTAATTTCTTTTTTTTGACGGTTTGTCTTCTCATAGTATATAGTATTTTTTTGTCAACTCATAATATATGTTCTCTTCAAAACTTTTTATAGGTGAAATTGAAAAAATGTTAACCCAAAAACGTTTCAAAAATCATTTTGTTGGAAATATAAAAATTCAACTGAAACATGTTGTTCTATTGGTTAAATGAATTTGAAGTTTTGTTAATGTTTAGGTGAAGAAATTATTTGAATTGTCTTACCATGATTTTTTCATGTGCAGTTGGTATGATTATATTTATTATATTTTTTTATTAGTGTGATGGTTAATTTGATTTATATTTTGAACGTTTAGGTGAAAATATTATTTGAATATATTATTATCTACTAATTATCATGATTATAAAAATCTATATTTCGTAACCTTTTCAGATAGACATCTCCATAAACCTCAAATTTTGATATCTAATTTGAACTATTGTAATATTATTATTTGTTATTTTCAAATTTTTCATTCACGATTGGATATAAAGCTCAATATTTCTTAATCTCTTCAAATCGACATCTCCTTTCATCTCAAAATTTTGTAAATTTACATGAAAATATTCATTTCATTATTGTAGTTTATATATTAAATATAAAATTATTATTAATAAATTAGATATTTTTTTAGAAATTAATATCTTCAATAAATTAGTGCGAACACCTTTTAAAAGATATTATAATCAAAGATTCTTCATATCGAGAATAATAGATCATTTAAACATCTACTTATAACATCATAATTAGTTTGTTTTCAATCATAAAAAGTATGTTAATATAGGAAAAGAATTGAAGACAACATCATCAATAGAAAGAGAGAAAATAGAAAAAAAGATATGAGAAGAGACAACATTATGAATCGGTAATTTTAAAATGTTTGATTTTATATGCTTTTATAATTTATGGTTTTCTGGGAAAGTAATGAGATATAGTTGAAGACGGCATAAAATATTAATGTTACATAACAACTAGATATGTATGCAATCATTTAGTAATATATAAGTCAAATACAATCACAATTAAATTATGTTCGATGTTACTTAGGTAATCTCATAACCTAGAGTTGATGGTCCATAAATTATGGTAAAAAAACTTATTGACTTTCTAATTCTTGGATACATACTTTAATATTTGAAAGGTGAATTTTGTTAAACCTTTATTTTTAGTATATGTATGCTTTTGAATATTCTAAATTTTACTTCTACATAAGAATGCATGGCGTATGAATATATAGTTTCAAATTCAAGTTTGATTACTTAGTTTCAAATTTAAGTAATAGATTATCGAATAAATAATATATATGAAATTCCTAGGAGAATAGTTCTACTTATTCATATTTAACCAAAATAAGTTTTGAATGTGTAAGACTTAAAAATTAAAATATAAATAAGACATCTATTTAATAAGGTCAAGGTCAGGTTCTCAAAGCAACCTCTAATTCTTAACTGCAAACAAAATTAATTATATACCTTTACGAAAACAAAACAAGATAATTTTAATACATATGACAAATGAAGTTTTTAATAAGTTTTACACCATAAATCTAAAATGTTTGTAACTTAAAGAGTTTTGCCATAATGACCAACATTTTTGGTCTATATGAAGACAACAAAACTAAGGTATGTCGAAAATGAATTTTGAAGGAACAATCGTGGACTCTAGAATGAGATTAGAGAACTCTAAGGAGATGTAAATCATAGATTGTAACTATAGCACATTTACAAAAATAAAATGCAGAATGACGAATAAGGTTTCATGATATATATGGCTAGAAGAATTATATGAATTTGTAGTTATAACATCGTGGGTCAATACTTTTATATAAATTTGGTGGTGCGGATCTTAATAAGGTAGTTCTCTCGTTAGTAGCATTGTAAGTATAGATATTGGTTGATATATCTTTTTATATATGGATTACGTTTATTACTTCATCAATAGTTTGTACAGTGAAAATAAGTAATATAAGTGAACCACTATTGGGTTGATTGTTGGAGATATCACATTACTTCTCATTTTTATCGTGTATCTCTTATACAAAAAAAAGATTGTAACACAAACATCCCATCTGATTCTTTATGTAAAACTAGGTAAAGACGCATGCTACGCGTGGGTTGTTGTTTTGAAAATTGTTAAAAGTCATTATGTTGATTGTTTTTTGTTGATAGTGTATATAATTAAACTAAAGTTAGATCCATCTTATATAGTTATAATTTTTATGGTTAGATTCATCTTTGAATCAAAACATCAGTTATACTTTTTCATGTAAAAATATGATAATTATCTCTATACATAAGGTTCTTATCTTTTATCAATATCATAACTACATACAACAACAATATATGATATATTGATATAATGATATTTCATTATGTTACTTATGTGGTTTGAAAATTGTCTAACTTGATTCTAAAAAAATTATTCTTTGTTTCATGTACTCGTTCCTGATCTAGTACTCAAGTTACGTTACGATAGATTCATGATTAAATACTACAATGACACAATTTGGATAACATATGTATAACTAATAGCTCAATTTTTCTTCAAGAGTTTTCATATGAAAAGAGACAAAAAAAAACAAAAAAATTGAAGAGTCATTTAACTCAACAATTTTAGATCTCTTCTCTTGCATTTGCATACATCCATTTTTTGGTATATCTAATGTATCAAAATTCTATTAGTTTTAAAAAATTGCATATCATAGTCAGTGTTACCAACTTACCATAAAACACAAAAATGAAAATAAATAAGGTCATATGATCGTATGTTGACCACAAACATAATAATAACACTCAAGATAAAATTACTAAACTAATAAGAAGTTATGTAGCAAACATGTAAACTGCAACACAAGTAAATTTTACCGAGTAATGATTAGTGATAAAAAAATTTAGTAAAATAAGAAGAGTATAATGGAAGTAGTGTTGATACATTAGCATGATTATTTTATTTTACTTTTTTTGGATAAATCAGACAATAGTTGTTTTGATGGAAGATTTAATACAATAGAGGACTTTTGATTTTTCTAACTTAATTTTGCAAAAACAAAAATTAAAAAATAATGTAAAAGAACACATATCATTTTTTGTGTGATGCTATGACATTTATATGGAGAAAGTTAGCCAACTTTCATATATATATATATGATAGATTCTTAATTTTTTTTTCATTTTAGTTGATTTTTTCAGATTTCATTACAAAAATTAAATTTATTTTAATTTTCTAATACTATAAAAATAGTTTTGCTAAGGGAGTTCAAAAAACATAATATTAGTATCAATTATTCATTATTGACGTCAATGTTGTGAAGAAAAATATTATTTAATGTTGCTACTATTCATTAGTCTCTAAAAAAAACTCAAACATTATTGATATGATTAATTCTTGAAGTATTATTAGTAAGAAAAACAAAATAAACACTACAACGGAATATAAAGATGCCGTGAAAAAAAAAACAAGTCAAAAGATGTTCAACCGATCCAGAAGAAAAATTCTAAAGCTGTTTGAGACTTTGATCTGAACAAATTGTTATACTACGAGAAAATCTAAGAAAAAAAACACGCGATTCTCTCTCAAAGGCGATGGCGACGGCGGTGCTAGGGTTTTGACCCGACTATGCGCTTCACTCCTCAGGCGATGGCGGATCTGGTTTCCTCGGTGGCAGTGGAGAATCTCGCCTAATGTAATGCTGGGTGGTTTTTTTCCTAGGGTTTGTTTGGTTATTTTGGTTTCAGTGGTGAGGTTGGTTCTCCGCCGATGATCTTGGAAGGACACTGGTTGTACTCTTGGCTTCGATTGCGAGCCATTGAAGCTTCGGATCTGGTCTAAAGTGCAAGGGATTACAAAGAATCGATCTGGTCGGGCTGAGTTTCGGATCAGGTTAAGATCGAGAGGGGTTTCGAGAGTTGATTGTGATTCTTTGATTGGCCAACATGCTCGAGGAGGTGGCCGTATTTGGGAAAGGTGGGGTGCTGGGGAAAGGAAGAGGGCAAAAGGAAAAATGTTCATCCGACGATCAAGAGGGTTTCAATGGGTTGTGAGGGGAGTTTTTGTTTCTGTTGGTAGAGGTTCACAAGGATTATCAGGTATTTATGGTGCTGGTCTTTTGGAGGGGAGTTGGTGGCGATCGCCTGTTGTCCGACAGGAAGCAGGTGAGGGTAGGGCTCAAAGGAGTGATGTTAAAATGCTCAAACATGATATCTCAATAGAGTCAGAAGTCTCCTCTCTGGGATGGAATTGGGATTATGTTGAATTGGGTCGGATGGTAGTGAGTGGTCTCTTGGTAGAGTGTCCTATGTGTTCCTTGTTGTTATGTGGGGTACATGGGTGGTGTAAGACTCAAGTCTTCTTTTTTCAGGTTATAACACAGAAGTACGATGCTGTTTGAAAACAGGACCAAGTTTGCTGCAAGAAGACTTTGGGTCTCAGGTTACAAAAGGTGTTCTAAGTGTCTTTTGTTCTGTAGGTCTTGGAGGATTGTCCGAAGCTCTAGATTGTGGAGGAGAAGTGTTTGGATTGGGTTATGGGCTGGGGAGAGGCCTAAAAAGGTTTGTTGGGTCTGGATAAGTTTGATGAAGCCCATGAGAAGTGGTCTTACACAATTTTTTGTCAAGAGGCTGCTCTGCGAGGAAGATTTGGGTTTAATGGGGAAACATGAAGCTTTATTGCAACTTGCCTTTTTTTGGAAAGCTTGGGAATCAAGGGGCAAGATTGCCCAGAATATTTCTCAATTGATGAGGGAATATTTTTCTGGATATTATTGGTTTAGGGAATCAATAGTTTTTTGGAAAGGGAAGAAGTATTTGTGTTGTAGAGCTGCTGGAGTTTTTGCATATCAAACTCAATTCTTATTTTTATCTCTAAAGGCTAGAGGCTGTAGCTGGTCCGATTATCCTTTTTGGTTTGTGTTTTGTTTCAAAAGAGTCACAATGTCACAAAGCAGCTTGGTCTCCAAGAGTATGTCTAGTAGGAAGACTGAGGGTCAGGCGCCTAAGAGGAAGATCTAGATTCCACACTTTGATATATGAGAGTTGATAACTTTGCTCTCATAGCAGGTTATTCAAAGACGGTTATCGGGCGGTGCTTCAATCCGAGGATTCAAGAGATGAAATCTCTTCTCCACATGATGCCACAAATTTGTGGACTGGAAGGGAAAGTAGCTGGGGCAGATTTGAGTTTAGGGAAGTTTCAATTTGATTTTGATAATGAAGAGGATATTGCTGCGGTGCTGAAAATGGAACCATTCCATTTTGATAATTGGATGGTCTCGATGGTGAGGTGGACTCCCACAGTTGATCCGGATTATCCATCAACATTGAAGTTTTGGGTTCGGGTTTTGGACGTGCCTCTACAATTTTGGACTGAACCAACCTTTAGATACATTGGGAAGGAGTTGAGTCACGTGGAGGAAGACGCGGCGGCGATGGATCTGCAGAAAGGAAGAGTGCAGGTAACGATTAATGGGCTCAATCCCTTGTGCTTTGAGACTGAGATCGAGTTTTCTAATGGAGAAGAGACTCGGTTCAAGTTACGGTATGAGCGGTTACATGGGTTTTGTGAGGTTTGTTTCAGCCTTTGTCATGAAGCAGCCTTTTGTCTTCAGTCTTTGGAGAAAAATCATGACAGATTTAGGGGATTCGATGGGGAAGAAGAGGAGGACATAAAGCATCTCAGTTACCGTGGTGCGGTAATCGCAGACAGAGGGAATGGTGAGGGTCAAGAAGGAAAGCTGAAGGGTGTTTATCATGAGAGTTCTCATGGTGAGCAAATTTACAAAGAGGACCAGAGGCATAATAACGGTTATCAGTATGGCGGAAAGAAACCCAGGGTTGATGGTTATCACGGAGAAGGGTCTTCTCGGTATGGTCGATACCAGAGCAACGTCCAACACAAGGATAGTAGGGGAAGAAAGGAAACTGCAAGGTTAGAACAGAAACAGGCAGGTAGACAACAAGAGGTAACAGAGAAAGTCTCTTCTCAGGATGTCTTACCTTCGAAGCAGGTTCATAAGTCGCTGTTTCAAAGGGAAATAAGGGGATAGGAAAGGAGCAGGAACCTGGGCCAGAATCCTCTCAACCAATGGAGAGTGAGGGTGGTGTTAATGGTGGCGTGGAGAAAGAAGAGGATCCTTCTCTGGTTTTGACAACATTTTCGGATGGGATGCAAGGTGGGAAGAACGCTGATAAGGCTGACTCTCAGATTCTGCATCATGTTAATGGGTCGATCACGACTGAGAATGGGTATGTGGATAAGCAGGTGGGTATTTCTAACCCTTTGATGGATTCTGGTCTGCTTGGTAATGATGTACTCATGGGGAATCAGACAATGGAGGAAGATGATCTCTTAGAAGATTTGTCATCTTCATCAGAATAAGTAGAAGAGGGGGTGGAAAATGCTGAGGATGGGGTGCAGGCTGTGTCGTCGGAGACTCCACTATCGCAGGAAGAGATGGTGGAAGCTGAAAAAAAAACAATAAGAAATGGTGGGCTCCTTAAGGGTGTTAGTTCCAAGAAACGGAATGCACAACTTTTATTATCCCCTAGAACGCGTATTGCAGGAGTAAGTAAGGAACATATGGGTGAGGGTTCAAACCGCGAAACCGGTAAGGGAATGCCAGGAAGCGCTAAACCACCAAGACCAAAATCAGATAAATGAAGGTTCTAAGCTGGAATTGTCAAGGTTTAGGAAATAAGGCGTCAATTGGGTACGTTCGGGATTTGTGGAAACAACATCGGCCGGATTTTTTATTTCTTTCGGAAACAAAACAATCCACTTCTTTTATGGAAAACTTTGTAGGTCACTTTGGTTATAAAAATTTAAGAACAGTGGATCCTATCGGTTGTAGTGGCGGTTTAGCCCTTTTTTTTAATAATGATTATCATGTTTCGGTTTTATTTATAAGTAATCGATTAATAGATATTGAAGCAATTTACAAAGGCAAAGTAATTAATCTTACTTTTGTTTATGGTGACCCGGTTCCTAGTAAGAGGGAACAAGTGTGGGAGCGGTTAACAAGAAATGGTTTATCTCGGGATTCTCCGTGGTTTTTAATTGGTGATTTTAACGAATTAACTGGGAATTATGAAAAGAGAGGGGGTAAACTAAGACACGCGTCTTCTTTTATTCCGTTCAATTTAATGATTCAAAATTGTGGTCTTTTGGAATTCCCTTATATCGGAGATTGGTTGTCTTGGCGGGGGTGGTGGGATAAAAAACCAATACGGTGTCGCCTTGATCGAGCTCTAGCAAATGAAGATTGGCATGAATTATTCTGCAACTCTTTTGACCACTCACCGGTGATAGCTACGATTGCGGACAAGATACCACGTGGGAAACAAAATTTTAGGTTTGAAAAAAGATGGATAGGGAAGGAAGGGTTGCTCGAGACAATTGCAAATGGTTGGAATTGCGATAATGAGCCAGGCGACGGGAAATTTGTGGATAAATTGATTAATTGTCGGCGAGCTATTTCGCAATGGCGAAGAGAGTTAACTCCATATAGTCGATTGAGGAATTAAAATCAGAACTATATGCAGCGCAGAGAGATGATAGGCGATAACAGGAGGAGATTACGGATTTAACAATGCGGCTGAAAGAGGCGTACAAGGATGAGGAATTGTATTGGCACCAGAAAAGCAGGAGTTCTTAGATGAAATTAGGGGATAATAATTCAAAATATTTTCACGCTCTAACGAAGCAGAGACGGGCTAGAAATCGAATTACGGGTTTTACATGATGGAAATGGGATCTGGTCAACGGAGGATAAAGAGGTTCAAAATATTACAGTCTCTTACTTTAAGACTTTATTTACTACAACAAAACCCGAGGCTTTTGAGGATGCGTTGGAAGAAGTACAAAGTCTGATTACAGATCAGATTAATGATTTTCTAACAGCACCCGCAACGGAGGGTGAAGTGAGAGCGGCACTATTTATGATGCACCCGGAGAAAGCTCCAGGACCAGATGGTATGACGGCTCTGTTTTTTCAAAAAGCTTGGGCTACCATTAAATTAGATCGGTTATGTTTGGTTAACTCCTTTTTAGAGGATGGGATTTTTGATAAACGGTTAAATACGACTAATATTTGTCTGATCCCAAAGACGGAAAGACCGACCCGGATGACGAAACTGCGACCTATTAGTCTTTGCAATGTTGGTTATAAGATTATCTCTAAGATTCTTTATCAAAGACTCAAGACGGTTTTACCAACACTGATCTCGGAAACACAATCGGCTTTTGTTGAAGGACGGTTAATTTCAGATAATATTCTTATTGCTCAAGAGGTGTTTCATGGGTTAAGAACTAACCCGTTTTGTAAAGGAAAATTCATGGCTATTAAAACAGACATGAGTAAGGCTTATGATAGGGTGGAATGGATTTTCGTTGAAAAGGTATTAAAATGATTGGGGTTCTCTGAAAAATGGATTAATTGGATAATGTAATGTATCACAACAGTCCAATACAGGGTTCTCCTTAATGGACAACCTAGAGAATTAATAGTGCCAGAGAGGGGATTAAGACAAGGAGATCCGCTTTCTCCTTTTGTACAAAGATACTAAATGCGAATATTTGGAAAGCAGAACGGAACAAATTGATTACGGGTATCAAGGTAGCAACTGCAAGCCCTCCAGTTTCTCATCTGCTATTTGCGGATGATAGTTTATTTTTTTGTAAGGCTAACAAAGATCAGTGTGGGGTAATTTTGGGGATCTTAAAGCAATATGAAGCGGTCTCGGGACAACAGAAAAGTTATTCAAAATCTTCTATCCAGTTTGGACATAAGGTAGACGATGACATCAAGGAAGAGATTAAATCCACCTTGGGTATCACTAACATTGGTGGTATGGGTTCTTATCTTGGATTGCCGGAAAGTCTAGGTGGCTCCAAGACAAAAAAATTCTCTTTTGTTAGAGACAGATTACAGTCAAGAATTAATGGATGGTCGACAAAGTTTTTACCAAAAGGTGGGAAAGAAGTGATGATTAAATCGGTAGCTGCGGCATTACCAACTTATGTTATGTCGTGTTTCAGACTACCGAAAACAATCACTTCTAAAGTTACTAGTGCGGTTGCTAATTTTTGGTGGAGTTCAAATGGTGATTCTAGAGGCATTCATTAAATGGCTTGGAATAAATTGTGTACCAGTAAATCGGAAGGAGGGTTAGGATTTCGGAACGTCGACAATTTTAATTCGGCTTTATTAGCAAAACAGTTGTGGCGGTTGATCACGGTTCCAGATTAAAGGGCGGTATTATCGGAAATCCAATCCTTTGGAGAATATAAAGTCTTACTCTCCATCGTATGGGTGGCGGAGTATATGCTCAGCTAGATCTCTGGTTAATAAAGGACTTATTAAAAGAGTCGGATCTGGGAATTCCAACTCAGTTTGGGAGGATCCATGGATTCCAGCTCAATTTCCGAGACCAGCAAAAAGTAATGGTTCAATTATTGACCCATCTTTAAAAGTTAACAAGCTTATAGATAGTCGGTCAAATTTTTGGGATATTGATCTCCTTAAGGCGATCTTTGACCAAGAAGATGTCGAGATAATAAGTGCCCTACCGGTGGGTGCGCCAACCAAGGAAGACACTTTGGGCTGGCATTTTACAAAATCAGGCAAATATACAGTTAAGTCGGGATATCACACCGCACAGATGGATACGTTGGAGACCAATTCATCTTTCATTGGCCCAGATATCAAAAAGTTGAAAGCTCAAACTTGGCATGTACAGTGTCCACCTAGGGTTCGTCATTTTTATGGCAAATTTTAACGGGTTGTGTACCGGTTACGGAGAATTTAAGGAAAAGAAGAATTGATTGTGATACATGATGTGGCAGATGTGGTGCATCAGAGGAAACAATCAATCATACACTCTTTCAGTGCCATCCTTCACGTCAGATTTGGGAGCTCTCTCAGATTCCTACGGCGACGGGGAATTTTCCCACAAATTCTACTTATGCGAACTTGTATCATTTATTTTGGAGAATACCTTCGGAGGTTGATTCAACAGCCTTTCCATGGATTATTTGGTATATCTGAAAAGCACGGAATGAAAAAATCTTTGAGAATATTGACAAAGATCCGTTAGAGGTTTTACAGGTAGCGGAAAAAGAGGCACAATTGTGGCACTCGGCCCAACTGAAGCTTCATAATGAAACTCATGGTTCAGTTGAGCTTGCAAATCGGCCTCGAACGAGGGGTGTGCCCCTTGATTCAACTTTCACTGGATACCGTTGTTTTGTGGATGGATCTTGGAAAGACATTGACAAGTTCTCCGGTTTAGGGTGGTTTTGTACATCTTCAAATAGTGAACCGCCAACTATGGGAGCTGCCAACCTCCGTAGAAGCCTATCTCCACTACATACAGAATTCGAGGCCCTCCTCTGGGCGATGAAGTGTATGATTGGTGCAGATAATCAAGAGATAGCTTTCTTTACAGAATGTTCTGACCTGGTGAAGATGGTGTCTCCCCCAACAGAATGGCCGGCATTCTCAGTGTATTTGGAGGAATTTCAGAGCGACAAAGAAGAGTTCTCCAACTTTTTTTAATCTTTAATTTCTCGTTGTGCTAATGTAAAAGCGGATAATCTGGCACGAAAAGTTCGTACAGAACCGCTTCATATCACTTTTGTAAACAACATTCCACATGAATGGCTATTTTGAGCTCTATTTAATTTTGGATGACAAAAATAAAAAAAATTGTTATACTACGGGGTAGGAAATTTTCATCCCAACAAAGAAATTGAAGACACTATAGTGGATAAGCTAAAGCTTTATTTTCCAAAAAATTTTAAAGGCATGCAATCTTCAGTTTCATAGTATTATTCAAAAATTATTTTGGTATTATATAAGATCGGGTCATCTTTTACCTTTTGTTTTTTTGAAATAATTTTTTTTGTTAACCTTTAATCAAAGAGATAAAATAAAAATTAATTAGGTTACTTATACATTTTTTTATTTATAGCTTCTATGGAAAAAGTGTTTGAGGGAGAAAACAACAAAATTATGAAAAACTAAAATGAAATACATTTTTTAAAATCAATACATGTAAACCAACCAAACATAAAAGTAACAATAAAAACAATGCATGTCAGTGAAAATTATGCCATCAAATTTTTGAACCCCAAAGAATCACAACTTATTTGTATGGGAAGAAATCCATCTTTCTCCAATGCAGATTTCTCTATGTGCGGTATCTTGTATTTGCTTGATCCACCAATCTTCATGATCACTTGCATACATGATTGAAGAGTAAAAAAAATATGGTTTACATTTTCTGTGAAGTATGTTTCAAAAGACTATTCTACCGCACATACAAGATCTTCTACAGTTTTGGGATATGTCTTATGTTGTAGTGATTGAATGACAATGAAAAATCCAAGATCTAAAATATTTAAATCCAGCAAGTTTGATGGTTGGCAAATCAATCAAATATCATAACCTATTTTGGGCGCAGCTTCTTGAAAATCTTTATCCCAACACTCAACATTTGTCCTTGCATTGTCTTGGTGAATGAATATAGTATTC